TTCCAGATCAGCGCCGACCCCTTTCCTGACTATTCGCCATCCACCTCCATCCGCGCCTTCTTCATACCCGAAAGACAGCATCTTTTGTGAACCGCCCAGATACCCACCTGTTTCGACCTCGCCGATGCCTACAAAGTCTCTGTCGAACTAGAGGCCGCTGGCCCGGGCGAGTGGCCGCCCCTGGGCCTCGTGCCCAGCGCCGCCGATGCAACGTCGCCTGCCCCTCGCCCTGGCACCAACTATCGGAACTGGGTATTGGTAGGAGAGTTGTCCGACTTGTTCAGCAAAAAGCGGTCCATGGTGGATTTGAAGCTGAGAAAGTCGCCCGTCAGACTATCGCCAACCGACTACCTCATCGACATCGATGCCGGCTGGTCTACCGGATTTGATGCAGGTGGCATGAAGCCTCTGGAGAAGGCCGTCGAGTCGTCCGTCCGAGCCGAAGGCACCCCCCCGCGGGCTCTGGCGAGGCCACGCGGCGTTGACGACGACGTCGCGATGCAGAGACCTGGCTCGGTCAACGGCGTCCACAGCATTGAAATCCTGGATGAAGATGACGATGAGCCTGATGGTGAAGGCACACCGAATCGGTCTCTTCGGACCCGGGGCAACAAGCAAAATTACAACCTGAAGGACTTGAGTGATAGTGCCCTGTGTATTAATATTTAGCGACGCAGAGGAAAAGCTTGCCGACTGTCGAAGATGAAACAGGAAAGGTCTGCTACGACCTGCCCGCAGAGCAGGTCAATTTGGAAGACTTCCAATGCATAACGTGCGGCCAGTCACACATGACGCTTGCCGACCTACAGGCGCATCTAGAGCATCAGCACCCCGAATATGACTACGTCTGCGACCCGCATGCCAAGAGCATCCATTTCCAGGTCGTGCATCGCATAGAGGCCTTTTCCTTCGATGAAGACGGCACGTACGAGCTCAAAAAGACCGTCAAGGGCTTCCAGTTTGGTCAAAACAGCAACAGTGATGAATCTTGGCTCAAGTCAACTTTTGGGCTTCCGAAAAGTGGCGAGCTTGCTGAAACGCACGTGAAGAACTCTCCAGCCAATGGACCATCTTCAAAAGTGCTCAAGGTTGGTCCACATGAATTGAGGATGGCGAACATGCCCATGACACTGACTTGTTTACAGAGGAAAGGCAAAGTCATCACGGTGCCATACACTAAACAGCAGCTTTTCGACCCCGTCAGCCGAATGCCGCTGGAGCCAGGCAAGCCGTTTATCAGGCACAAACCCGACGACAGATGGCTCACGCAGTGGCACCGCGATGCCATTGAAGACTTTTCGGACATTCCTTTCCACGAAAGGGAGTTTATGACCACATGGGACGAGTTCATGCTCACCCAGCGCATCTCCTCAGACGTGTACCTGCCGAGCTCATGGCTGGCTTTCCTTCGACACAAGGCCGAGTGGCTAGTTTGCTCCGAGTCTCGCATGATTGAGTTCGGGAAACACATATCCTACCTTATCGCGCGGGACGCTCTGGATGACCAGACGATCAAGCAGGGCTTCCAGATTATCAGTGCAGCGAAGCCTCCGTTGCAGAACGCGGGAGCCAGAATGCAACAACACGCATCGCCTGTAGAGTCTCAACCGCGCAAGAGCGCGGCCAACTGCCAGACATGTGCGAGACAGATACTGGGGCCCAGGCTGCTTCTGTGTGCGAATCCTGTAAGTCCATGCCCATGCCGCCCGTGATGACGACGCTCACTGTTTCTCCCAGCATTGCAAAAAGCCAGCGTTTCATCGTGATTGCGTCAAGCGCAACGCGCGCATGGACGTCGAGGACCCAGCCTGGCTCTGCAACGTCTGTATCGATATACCAGCAGAGCAGCAGATTTAGGTCATCCAGCGCCGCGAGGTATCGAGCAGGAAGCGAGTGGCGTCGAAGAAGGCTAGGGAGGCAAAGGGATGACGGGAATGGATCACAGGAGCGATGCCAAGCATGGCCGGTTTTGATTTTTCGCATGCATGGCCGGAGTTTCCCAGGTTCCTTCTATTCGCTCTGCTGGTAAAAAAAAAATAGGAGGAGTCATAGATGTCGTCGACCTGTAAGGAGAAGCATGAATCTGGCATGACTTCAATGGTCTGTGATGAAGGTGAAGTGACCTGTTAGAAGCCTTGCAAATCACCGCGGTGCGCAGAATGAGGTCTGACAATTTCTCTTCAGAAGCCGAAGCCGGTATATATCTCATGTCAAGACTGAAGACTGGCGCACCATTGTCTCCCCGAAAACGCCTGCCGTCAGCCCGCCGAGCCTACTTTCCTAACCGCACATAAACTGTACAATACATACTCTTCCCGCTGTTGGCCCGCCGCGCGCCCCCCCCTTTCATTAAAAACACCTTGCATGGCGTCTCCCCTTAGAACCTGTACTTGCTCTCCTTCTTCTTGTCGGTGCGCTTCTCGTCGACCTTTTGCCTCTTCCTCGACTCCTGGGCGATCATCTCGGACAAGTCCTC